GAGGGCTCGCCCTCAGCAAATGGGGGAAAGGGTCAACCAAAGCTCTGCTGGGTAGAAAGGGGCTTGGATAGAGCAGGCCAGCCCCCGCCATGCCACCCCCTACCCCATATACCCAGCCCCCGCCATGCTGCTCCCTCAGTACACCCCCCACCTCCCTCAGCCCAGCCCCTGCCTTGCTGCCCCCCACCCCACACACCCAGCCCCCGCCATGCTGCCCCCACCACCACCACCCCCAGCCCCCGCCATGCCACTCTCCCAGTACACCCCCCACCTCTCCCAACCCTCGCCATGCCTCCCGCCACCCTACCCCCCCAGTCCCCGCCATGCCTCCCGCCACCCCACACACCCAGCCCCCACCGTCCTGCTCCCTCAGTACACCTCCCCCAGCCCAGCCCCCGCCATGCCGATCCCCACCACACTCCCCCAGCCTCTGCCATGCTGGCCCCGTCACCTGTCTGTAACTCCCCCAGACCAGCCCCAGCAGTGCCACCCCCTGCACCCCAGCTCTCAAAGGCCAGCACTAGCGTCCCCTCCCCACACCCTAAGGAGGGGGAGGCAGGGCCCTCAGCACACAGCCCTGCAGTTCCTTTGGGGAGGGGCAGCCTCCCAGTGCCACCCATGCCCGTCCAGGCAGTGCACCCAGCTCCCGTCCCGCGCCCTGACAGTGCCAGCCCCTCACCCCTGCATCAGCATCCCTGTGCATGGATCTCACCCGCAGGAAAGGAGGCCTCCATCTGGGCTCTGGGCCGGCGCTGCCCAGCCTGGGGGCAGAGAGCACAATGCACAGACAGGAGGTGGCTGCAGGCCCAGGCCAGGCTCCCCTACCCTCCATGGGCCATAGGGGCAGGATTTCCTCTGGGGCAGGGCTGCCTGTTCTGCTTGGGGGTCCTCAGGGGGTCCCCATCTTCACCCTGGGCCCTCCCTCCCCATGGCCTCGGCGTGCACAGCCCAGTGCCAGCGTTGGCAGGGACCCTGTTCCCGCCCGGCCTGCTCCATCCACCGGAGCCAAACCTCTCTGCGTCACAGGCCACTCCCCACCAGCTGCTGCCCCCCCACCGGGGGCTCCGAGCAGGCAGCTCCAGCCCCACTGCTGACTCTGCTCCAACACCAGCTCACCTGGGGGGCGCTGAGCTCCCATGAGCACCTGGCACGGCTGGTAAATAAAACATCAGCCAGGCAGATCAGGTTCCCAGGCAGCAAGCGGCAGCAGGAGTGACGCGCCCACCCTCAGCCTGCCCCCTCTAGGGCCCAGGAGCACGCAGCACCCTCCGCAGGGGCCCCTGGAATAAAGCACCCCCACCCCCCCAGCAGCCACACTGCTCACTCTCCACATGGACACCTGAGAGCACCGTCCCCTTGGCCCCCCACCCAAGCACCTGCCAGCCCCACAGCGCACTCCATGCCCGTGGCCACCCGTACCTGGAAGAGGTTGTGGGCTGCTCCTCCTGCCCCTCTCCCCTGCGGACAGTCTCGGCACCCACCTGGCAGCTGCGCTCTCCCACCGGGCAGACCCAGCTCCGTGCCCTCCACACTAATACCTTAATGAGAGCTGACGGGCAGCTCGCACCACAGCCAGGCCACGGGGCCGCATTAGCTCATTAGTGTGGGAGAAGCCACCCCCACCCACACACACACACCCAGCAAGAGCTGTCCCTGCTGAGTGCGCGGCTCCCACGGAGGTGCTGCCCTCCGCCCCCAGTCTGCCCTGCGGATGCCCCTCAATCCTGACCCACAGCCCCCCGCTGCTCCCTCAGGGTAGCACCAGGGCTGTGGGGTGGTGGCTACTCCTGCAGGGAGCCCCCCCGAGCGTGGCCCCCGCGGGGACCTGGACACAGAGCGGCCGAGAGCTGCAGACTCGGCCAGAGGTGCCTCATGTACCCTGGGGAGGGCCAGGCCGGCTCAGCCCCTCCTCCAGCTCCAGGGGTCTTGTGGGACAGGACTCTGGTGCTGCACCTCCTGGGGAAGGGGAGATGCAGAGACTCCTGCCACAAGGGGGCGCCAACCACGGGGGCACGTGCCAGGCCCGGTGTCATCCTGGGCCCCACAGCCACTGCAGTCTGGCCCGGACGCCTTTGTTTTTCCTAAACACTGCAACATGCCTGAGTGCTCTGTATTACCCTACATGGCCAAGAGTGCCAACCATGCCCGGCCAGCTCAGGTCCCGGCCACACGCGCCCGGCCACACGCGCCCACTCCCTCCCCTCTCTTCCCACTTGGGGGCACACGCCCGGCCACATGCGCCCACTCCCTCCCCTCTCTTCCCACTTGGGGGCACGCGCCCGGCCACACGCGCCCACTCCCTCCCCTCTCTTCCCACTTGGGGGCACGCGCCTGCCCCCGCCCCTCCCGGGGACATGTCCAGCTGTACACGCCTGCCTCCCTCTGGGGCACACGCCTAGCTGTATGTTTCCCTTCGCTGACTCAGCTCCAAGGGCCACCCCCCACGCACACGCCATCCCCTCCCCGGGTCACACGCCTGGTACACACACCTCCCCCAGTGCACGCCTGGTACACACAGCACCCCCCGGCGCACGCCTGGCCACACGCAGGAATCCCAGCTCCAAGGGCCACCCCCCACGCACACACGCCATCCCCTCCCCGGGGCACACACACCTCCCCCCCCGGCGCACGCCTGGTACACACACCTCCCCCCGGCGCACGCCTGGTACACACGCAGGAATCCCAGCTCCAAGGGCCACCCCTCACGTGCACTTCCCATCCCCTCCCCGGGTCACTCGCCTGGTACACACACCTCCCCCCGGCGCACGCCTGGTACACACGCGGGCATCCGAGCTCCAAGGGCCACCCCCCACGTGCACTCCCCATCCCCTCCCCGGGTCACACGCCTGGTACACACACCTCCCCCCGGCGCACGCCTGGTACACACACCTCCCCCCTGCGCACGCCTGGTACACACGCAGGAATCCCAGCTCCAAGGGCCACCCCCCCACGCGCACTCCCCATCCCCTCCCCAGGTCACACGCCTGGTACACACACCTCCCCGCGGCACACGCCTGGTACACACGCAGGAATCCTAGCTCCAAGGGCCACCCACCACACGCACACCCCATCCCCTCCCTGGGTCACACGCCTGGTACACACAGCTCCCCCCGGCGCACGTCTGACCACACGCAGGAATCCCAGCTCCAAGCAGCCGCCTAGGGGCTAGGTGGCCACTCCCCGACGCCAGCCAGCTCTACACCCCTAGGACAGGGGTTCTCAAACTGGGGGTTGGGACCCCTCAGAGGGTCGTGAGGTTATTACATGGGGGATCGCGAGCTGTCAGCCTCCACCCCAAACCCCACTTTGCCTCCAGCATTTATAATGGTGTTAAATATATTTTAAAAAGTGTTTATCGTTTATAAGGGGGGGGTCACACTCAGAGGCTTGCTATGTGAAAGGGGTCACCAGTATAAAAGTTTGAGACCCACTGGCCTAGGAGAAAAGGAAGGCAGGGGAGAAGGGGTACGTTTTCCAGTCCTTCCCAAGAATCCCCCTCCGGAGCCATGATGGGCAGGGTCCGGCCCAAGCGGCTCCTTGCTATGCCCAGCGAGGTACCACCCCGCACTCTGCGAGGGCTCTGGGGTCCTGTCCCATGGCTCATGGGGTCACTCGGCCCCATGTGACCCCAGAGTGAGGCCAGGATCTCCAGAGGGTGTGGGGGGGATGGGGACACACTCCCCACACAGACCACACCATCACAGAACTCCCGGAGTAACACTGCTCTGACCTGGCCACCAGGGGGGGCAGCTGTGACAGCTCCCCACCAGGTGCTCGCTGGGCTCAGTGGCAAGGCCCCCGCAGCCGACTCGGCAAACACGCTAGGGGGCTGGGGACAAGCCTGGCCCAATCCCAGCCGGGAGCCGCGGGGCCCATAGCCAGGCTGAGGCAGGATCTGGTTTCACAGCAGAGCCAGTGGAGGCCCAGGGACTTGCTTCCCTCCCCACCCCATTCGCACAGCCTGAGCCCCCCAGTTCCTGGCACCTGCTCTGTGCCCCAGACCCAGCCAGCCAAGGCTGGCAAACTCCCGCACCTGCCGGCTCAAGGGCTGAAGCATCCTTCCCTTGCGCAGGGCACTGCGCTGGTAAAGCGCCCCCCCGGGACAGCCTGCACCGGGCACGAGGTGCCCAGGTGGGGGCATAGAGTGTGGCAGGGCAGGACTCAGACGCCTGCAGGGGCAGCAGATCCCTCGTGTGCAGCCAGGCCCGGCTCTTCCCCAGGCCCGGGGGGGGGGGGGGGGCGTCGACCTTGCTGGCTGTGCTGACCCTGCCGGTGCCGCTAGCGGTGCTGCTGCTGCTGATCCGGATGGGTGAGCTCCGCAGCCCCAGGGTCAGCTCTAGGAAGGGAGGCACGAGAGTCGAGGCTGACAGACAGCTGGGGCCAGCCAGCATCGGCCGCGGCTAGCTCGGCGCCTCGCCAGGCCCCCACAACATGCACACCCCAAAGAGCCACACAGGGCTCAGACCTGCCCCCCGCCCCCACAACTGTCCCCCACCCTCACAGAGCCCATCCCCCCAGCGCCAGGGCTCACCATGCAGAGCACAGCCCACCCCTGCTGATGGCACAGCTGGCCTCTGCATAGGGCGGGCTCAGAGTCAGGGGATCCCCCATAGGAAACCCAGATTCCCCAGCAGGGAACCTGCCTACTTCACAGTGAGGGACTGAGGCCCCTGGGCACCCACAGCGAGCCGAGGCGCTCCCAGCTCCGGGGCAGGCCTGGGGGTGAGGACCCAATGTCCAGGGAGTGTCCCAGAGCCCTTCGGCTGGACCCTGACACTCCCCTGGCTGGGACCGGGGGCAGCCAGCCCTGGGGCCATACAGCCCAACTCCAAGAGCAGGTCAAGGCTCTGCTGGTTTCCCGTGAGCCCCACTGATCTGCCCTGGGGAGAGGGGGAACCATGGGGCGGCTGCTCAAAGGCATCTTAGCGTGATAGCCGGGCAAGGCTGCACCCCCGCCTGGCTGCAGAGCCGGCCCCACCTGGGCACGCTCAGGAGCGGCTGCCCTTTGCTCGCACCTCTCCCAGGAGCAGAGCCGTGGGACCCACACGTTGGCAGCTCAGCCCTGCCATCACAGCCGCTGTGGAACCTACCTGCCCGCTGGCTGCCCGGCACGCCCACGATGCGGTTGCTCACGGGCTGGGCCCTGCCATCCTTGATCTCGATGGTGAAGAGCGTTTTCATGGTGTCCTCGTCCCTGGCGCTGGCCTTGGTGCCGCAGGCAGGAGGCTGGGGCTGGGCCGGGCAGCTGGGTAGAGAGGCAGCGTGCTGGGCACCAGGCTCCTCTGTGCCGGACGAGCTTCCCTCGGCATTTTCAATGGGCCTCTGGGGGGACGTCAGCCGGCCGCCCTGCGATTGGCCAGCCTGGCTCCTCCCCACAGAGCTGCCCTCCTCTTTAGGGCAGGCTGGGCCCCCGGCCATCGCAGCCTGTGCCTCCGAGGAGGAGGTGTGGTGCTCTGCACGGCTGCTGGCTGGGGGGCCCCCTGAGCCCTCCTTGGCTCCCCGGAGGGCAGCATGGCCTGGTGGCGCCGGGCTGAGTCCGCACCGGGGACCACTGGGTAAGTCTGCTGTGCGCTGGGCACTGGCCGCCTGGGAACTACAGGCACCCTGGGGACGCAGGAGCTGCTGCTGCAGGACCCAAGAGCCTTTGCCAGGGCTCTCCCACTTCTGGCTGCAGGACCTGGGACCAGGCTGGGCCAGGGAGTCCGAGGTGAACTTGCGAACGCGCTCCCGCACCGAGTTGGCTCTCTGGAAGGGCTGCTCCCGCGCGGGCTCTGGAAGGGGAGACAGGAGCAGAGTGAGGACTTGAGCTATTCACCCACCCGTGGGCACAGAGCCTGACTGGCACTGGAGCGCTTTGCCAGGCATCCCCAACCCCAGCTCAGTCAGGTTTCAGGAGGATCCCACCAGCCCATTACCCCAGAAGGGGGAGCGGAGAGGCAGCCTTGCACCAGCTCTCATGCCCCCGGGGCAGGTGCCCCACCTGCAGGGTGGCTGGCGTGCTCTCTGGAGAAGCCAGGGCCGGGGCCCCTTCCCACCGCACCCCTAGAGCGGCAGCGGGCAGTGTCACAGAAAGCCCTCCCGGGACTCCTGCTGCGGGAAGGACATGGGGCAGAGCACAGGCCAGGGGGCAAGGGGAGGGGGCATTACCAGCGCTGCGGGCCGGGAGCGGGGAGTACGGTGCAGACGGCATGTGGGTGTAGCGGTGGAGGTCCTGGCGGGCAGGGGTTCCTGGCACATCATGGGTGGGTGCTGCCAGCCACAGCGTTTGGGAAGGACCAGACCAAGGTAGCATTTTCAGAGATGCAGATAGCACAGCCAAGGAGAGCGACGTTAGAACAGCAGTGCCAGCCATCACCTCTGAGCACAGCAACCCGCAGCCTGCCCCATGGGCAGGGAGGCCGAGCCCCCCGCCACAGAGCCCGGCGCAACCCCCAGGGGCCCAGGCCGCCCTGCCCCGCGGGTACCCAGCCCTCAGCCAGGGGTGAGTTAATCTGGGCCGGCGCAGGCCCATGGCCAGCAGAGGTCAGACTGCAGCCCTGCCCCCCAGCTCTGGAGCACACAGAGTCCCCAGGCAGGGCAGACTCAGGGACAGGGCCCACGTTCCGCCCGCCTGTCCCCCTCCAAGGGCACTGCCAGGCTGGGGGAACCTGGCCAACTTCCTGCAGAGGTGTCCGAGGAGTGCAAGGTTTGCTGCAGAACCAGCCCCTTTGCACGGGCTCCATTTGTGCCCCCTCTGCCTGGGCCTCCAACGAGCACCCTGCCTCGCCAGCTTGTGGCAGGGCCATGTGCTGAGGGCCAGTTCGGGGCACTGCCCGGGGAAAGCCCACCTGCAGGGGTAGCTGTGAGCGTCTGCCCTGGGAACCTGGCCCCAGGGGTTACACTTGGTCAAACCAGGACCCCTGACCCTCCACGAGCACAGATAACAGTCCTATGCTGCCAGACACCAGCGCCCCCATGCCCTCCACTACGACCAGCCCCGCCACAAAGACTGGGCCGGGGGCTAGTCCAGCAGGCGAGCTCTAGGCTCAGCCCAGCGGGCGATGCTGCCAGGGCACAGCCCTGCGGTGAGAGCCGAGGGGAGGCGCTGTCCTGGGGTCTGCAGGAGACGTCCCCCTTTCCAGAGGGGCGATCGCAGCCGCCGTGGTGCGCACGGTGCAGCTCCTGCTCCATACGCTGCCTTGGCACGGTCATCCCCAGGACCCCCTGCTCTGGGGCAGGGACGCGGGCACCGCAGCATCTGCCTGGCACCACGCAACAGAGCCAGGCTCACACAGTGAGACGCTGAGCTCACCTCTGCCAGCCAAGGTGTCACCCTCTGATGGCTGTTGGGGAGTCTAGGGGCTTGACCCACTTCCACAGGGGGCCTGGTGGTTGGGAGGGGGACCCTCTTGGCCATGGAGAGGGGCCTGCCCTCCCCTGACCAGAGTGATGCATGGGGCGGTGCCTGTCCCGGCTCCGGGCAGACCCCAGGGCTGTAGGTCTCCAGGTCTCCTCCCTGCCCTTCCTGCGCACTCCCTCTGCTCTCGCTGCCAGCCAACACCCGGCCTTGCTCAATGCCTGGGGGCAGCACCTGCCCAGTTAGCGAGGGCGCAGGAAGCTCAGGGGGGCTGTCACAGAGATGACCCCCCCAGGGGGGTACTGGAGAAGGGCTATGCACAATGAACCCTGCTCCGCCTGGGAGAGAAACCCGAGAGCCTGTCCTGCAGGGAACTCCCGACTCATCTCAGCCCCTCCCCGGCCTAGCGGAGACCCTGGCAGGTTGAGTCAGGGGAGCAGGGGGGCTGATCAGGGCCAGGATCTCAGCTATTTCCTCCAGCTCCCCAAGCCGCAGCAGCCGGCAAGGGGGGGAAGCCCTGGCGCTGCCTGGCGCAGCAGGCCTATGGTACGAGTCGAAGTGTGGGGCGGTCCCCCGAGCTGGGAGCCCAGCTCCCCCGCTGAGATGCCTCCAGCCAGCAGAGCGGGGTGGAGGGCCAGGAAAGCACAGAGCGGTGCCGAGCCGCCGGCCTTATTGGGCTAAAGAATGTAAAAGGCTGGAGTTTGCTGCACACACGGATTCCCTTTCATGGCCCTTCAGCAGCCCAGCGAGCAGGCAGGCGATGTCAGCAGCAGCCGCCCAGCCCCGCTCCCACATCAGCTGGGACCAGGGGCAGCTGATGAGCAGGGTCAGGGAGGGGTCACAGGCCTGGGTCACCGGGGGCACCCCCTCTAGGACCCCCACACAGACATGCACCAGTCTCCCAAGGCACCTCCATGTTTGTGCCCCCTGCCTTCGCTCTCTGCCAGGAGTGGTCTTGATTTTGCCTGGGAAGCTTGTCCTATCCCAGGGGGGCGGTGGAGGGCGGGGGGGTGCACATCCCCCAGCTCGAGCACAGACCCAGCTGTGCCCGGCCAGGAGCCCAGAGGTTGGTCACAGAAGACTCAACGCCTTCGAGCAGCCAGACTGGAGCAACGAGGACACAGGCTGGCCAGGAGCCCCAGCAAGGCCACGCCGCCTCCCCCAGAGGGCAGCACTGAGCTGGGAGCCCACAGCACCACCCACTGACCTACCTTGGAGCCTGGCACTGCTGCAAGAAAGCCCACAGCTCCGTCCACCCACGCCATCTACCTGGAGGGTGGCACCACCGCAGGGAGCTCCGAGCCAACTCTGCAGCCAGCCCAGAGGGAAGCAGCATCCCCGAACAAGGCAGTTCACAGCATGGCCACACTGGAAGGGGCACTGCTGTGGGGAAGCTCGCAGCCCCAAGGGGGAGACTGGCACAGGGGAGCTCCCAGCAATGCTCACACAAGCACCCCCAGCAGAAGCATTGCTGGGTGTCTGCAAAACATCCCCAGAGAGGGGGTGCACAAGTCAACATGGCCAGCAGGGAGCTACTGCGGAGAAGCTCTCAGCGTCACTGGAGAGGGGGCACTGCTGTGGAGAAGCTCGCAGCCTCAGTGCCCCAGCATACAAGGAAGCCCTCACTTGATGCAGGAAGGTCCCTATGCAGACAGTCCATATACACTAGTGGGCACAATCCACTGGTGCAACTCCCGGCAGGGGCTCCCTGACCACAAGGCCCTGGCCAGGCACAGCTGGGGATGGCGTGGGGGAGGGGATGGTGCTGTGCCTGCGTCTTACCAGCTCGCGTCGTCTTGTTGGCAGAGCTGGCCGGCTTCTCGGGCACTTGGCTTTTGACACAGATGCTGACCTGGGGGGAAGGGGAGGTGGAGGGTTAGCCCCAGCAACTCCTCAATCCGACAGGTGCCAGATGGTGCTGGGTACTGCCTGCCTGGCCCCCCTCCCCTGACTCTCGCCACCCC